CACACACATAGATATATATATAAAACAGAGCCCTGGTGGTGTGTTGGTTAAGAGCTCAGATATGAATGTAGTGAATATCTATATAGTGAATATATATAGTAAATATATATTTTCTAATATATATTTAGTGAATTTCTAGAGGCACTTTCAGTCATTAGGCTAAGATTTAAGGAAAAATGGACTGAGAGTCCTACTTCCATGAATAAATCAAAGTTCCTTATTGAGAGCACAGACTGTGTCAAGATTCTCAATACTCAAATTAAGATTCACCTACAGTTACTCCGTTATATTTTTCAAGGATTTTCAAGAAAGATTATTTTATGGTGAGCAGCAGTTTACCAATTGTTATGCTGGAAGCTCTAGCGAAAACAAATAAGAAATCTAAGTAGAAAAAAATTGACAGAAAATAGGTTTATCAGATTAAAACAAGAGACCATTCTCACAAGATGTTTTACTTCATCTTTGTGTTCCCATATTTTCAAAGCTCTCTAGATTGCTTTATAATTAGCTTATGTTCAAAATTCGAACATTAGTTTGAGAAATTCTATTTATTTCAGGGCTCAAACCACAAAATAAACATTTTCGGAGAAACTGAAATTTTACTATTTCAGCTATTTTACATCTAAATAGAAATAAAATTTATCCTTTGTTCTTTTAAACATCATTGTATTTTGTTTTTAAAAACTGACATAAATTCTTAAGTCATATCCCCTTGGAAACTAAAAATTAAGAAGCCCCGGTGGAAATTTGAGTGTAATAAAGGAGCTATCATAATAAATTTCTCATAACACTTGCTAATGATTAATCCACATATATTTTAGATGTTTTAATATTTAGGCTCACCAGTTCAAGTGCACTAATATAAATTGAGCATCATCTGATTTTTATGGTCTCTTGATGCTTTTTACAAAAAGTGATTTTACTGTCCAAAATGCCAAATCAATTGTCAAAATCCATCCCTCAATGTATCATCTTGCTGTATCCACATAATAGTGTTCTAGTCTTTTGGGTTTTCTTATTTGAGCTCAGACAGTTTGCCCATCTGATCTTTCTGGTTATAATTACAATTTAACTTTGTTCATTGATTTGAATGTTGCAAAATACGTCTTCTCCATCTGTCAAGACCCATGGGAAATTTTGTTCAGAAGCTCCACCACTGAGTAGTTAATAATCAAGTATATGTTCCCCCTTTAAAGAGAGCTATGGTGAGTGTTACATTTGATGTTCCTTTTGAAGTGAATATGGGAAGAAATGAAAAGATCTCTTCTCCACCATTACCTATGATTCTTTCATATTATAAACTGAAAGAGCCTTAGTGTAGCTAAGTATTGCATTTATTCAGGTAATTCTATGAATAAAAATACTTTAAAGTTAAAAAGACATTACCTCATAGTCAGTATTGTTAAATAAACATGTCCTTGGTTCTGAAAAATAAACACATTATTTTATCCTAAAATAAACACTATTTTTCTTACAAAACAGAAATTTTATATGAGATCATATTTATCATCCAGTTATAATGTTTCTTCCCATAACATCATCACCTCCTTTCAGTCTACTGAATATATCCATAATGGCTAATTCTGGGTTTCCCTCGTTCCCAAAATAGGTTTTAAGAGGACAAGTACTAATTCTGTTTTACGTTACACCCAGCTAGCATAGTGTTTAATGTATTAGTAGCTCAATAAACATCTGCTGAATATATGAATAAGTAAACAGTGAACAGATTGAACTCAAATAATGTCTTATGAATACACACCACAGTATCCAACTTCACAGCAGGCATCATTAGATTTGAACTTTCTGAGACTCTCTCCAGTTCTGCATGTGGGTAGAGAAGGGCACTCCTTCAGCTTACAGTGTACAGTCTTTGCAGCAGTACAGGTACATTCATGGCAATTGGCAGTCCATATGTCTCCAGGCTACAGACACAAACCAAGTTTAGAGTTCAATTCAAATACTGGAATGAAAGCAAGTTTTGATTAAAGTAGAGGAAAAACTGTGTACTTACAGATTTCTTTTCTCCAAGTGGACCATGACAAACTGTTAACATGAAATTATAAATGGTAATTAAATTTGGTAAAATATAACCATCTGTTATTTATAGATAACCACCAGGTGGCCAATACTGTAATTGGCACTATAATTTCAGAGTCTCAGCATTATAGAGGATTAGATGGTGCCTAAAGGCAGATAAATCACACCTGGCTGCTTCAAGCAAACTGTCCCTAACAAGTACATATATGTCTTATTTTTACAACCCCCAGCAAAGGATAATCCTTAATTTCTCCTGACAGTGGTCAATAAATCTTACTGTTACTGTTTTACTTACTGCTTTACAGTCTGACTTATGCCTCTAAAATCCTGCAAGTCACCAAGGCTTCATAATTATAAGACACAAGGGCCATTTCTCATTTTTTCAGGTTTTCTGCAGTAGTTGACATTATTAACTCTCACATTCTTAAAGATGCTCTCCTTCATTCAGATTAACTCTCTGAAACTCTTGTGGTTTTCCTCATATATGCTGACAAGAATTGTCCTATCTTCATTAGCAGCTCTTCCTATTCCCTCTCGTTCTCTATTCTTTTCTCCTGATACTTTCCTCCATCTCCACACTGTCCACTGTAGCATCAAGTGAATGCTCAAGCCCAGACTTCTCTCTTGAGCTCTGGACTCAGGTCTCCCTCTGCTTAATAGATATCATCCAGGCAGATCCATAGGAACCTCAAACTCATGTGCACAAAAGAAATTGTACCATCTTTCCCCTCAGACCAGCTTCTCTTCTAGACTGGCTTACTCTTCTAAGGACCTCACTGTTCTTTCAATCATTTAAGGCTAAAATTTAGGAGCAATTTCTATTCCTTTCTTTCCATCATTTAGCATCCAATATACTGTCAAATCCTGTTTCTTCATCCTCACTTTAATCCCTTCCTTTCTGAGTTCTACATGCTACAACACTACTCCAGGGCCTTATTATCTTCCAGCTAGCATGCCTTTATGGCTTTCTGGAAAGGTTTCCCTGACTCAGATCACTTCCTGTTCCAATCAATTCTCCACATCATAGGCAGAATAATTTTTCTAAAGCATAAAATTCATCTCATCATTCCTTCGATAAAAAGCTTTTGTTGTTCCCTAAGTGTCTTATAAAATAAACAACTCATTCTAGCATTCTAGCTTTCAAGGTCTCCCTTAATTTGGCTCTAACCCACCTTCTCAACCTTGTCTAACTTCTCTTCTTTTATATACTCTGGGCTAGTCTATTGTTCTCAAATTTCACTTCTATAATATAATGCTGAAGAGCTCTCAAAAAATATACAATATATGTAACATATGTGACATACAGCATGTACTCTCCATATATAACACATATTTTTCATTTTTTTACTGTGAAATTTTTCTGCCTTATGTGAAAATTACTTGTTTCTTTGAAAATTTACATTCTTCCATTATATACTAAGGTCAGAGTATATTTTTGTTAGTAATTTTTGCCACTTGCTACAAAGTAGATCACATTGTCTTAAGACTAATAGGAACTCAATTAAGTACTCAAAATTACTAAATTCTAGCTAACCTGAACTTTTCTCACTATAATTCAGTCCTCAATAAAGCTGGAATTATCTAGTTAAAAAAATACTACCAAGTGACAATATTTTGATCAAGGTATAACACAAACACACAAAAAACTTAGTAGGTAAACTTAATTTTAATCTAAGTAAAGACATGCATTTGTTTGGTTTGGCTTCATTAATTTGTGAGGAAAATGTGTCAGAAAACAGCCTACTGATCCCTATTTATCTGGTGAATAAAAGCTAAATTCATTACTTCAAGTTTTCCTATTAACACTTCCATAGCTAGTATTGGCATGCCTTCTGAAATTTTACTTCCAAGAAAAATCATTAATGCAGAATGCTTCTGAAGTGGTAGTATTCTTACCTGGAGTTGGTGGAAGCGTTGTTGGACAACCTATTAAAAAAAAAGAACTTCATATCAGTCTCTGAAACTATTGGAATATGTTGGAATAAGTATAGTTATTTAGTTCACTCTTCTATTACTGAATATAATTGGATACACTGCTAGTTCTACAAGCATACGAATTTCCCATATGTCACCCCTCCCTACACATCATGGCATTTGAAATTCTACCATTAGAGAGTACTTCTTTTTAATGGACCTTGAATTTTAATAAAAGGGAAACACGGTATTTAAAAGGAGAAAGTAGAAGACATGAAAGTAAACTTAACTTCTCTTACTTCAAAATATCTTTAGACAGTTCTGATGAATAGGACACTAAAATGCATAATCAAACAAGGAAAAGAATGATTCAGCTATAGGTAAAAGTCTAACTACTAATAATTAGCTACTGTTAATCCTTTTTTTCTTCTCAAAATACTTCAATCTTGTTCTACCTCCACCTCCACCAAATGCTTTAAACTGGTTATGTGTACCTTTTTTTGTGCCTTCACATATCACATATTTTGGTCAAACCAACCATTCATTCATAATTTTCCAATTTTATTTCAGAACTGCTAAAAATAAGTTCAATATTTTTATTCTACCTACAAAACAAAAGGCTGGCTTAGGAGCAACAGAATATTTGAGAGGAACTTAAAATTTCTAAGCGGTTACCAAACCCGTTGCCGAGAGGTCAATGCCAACTCATAGGGACCCTATAGGACAGAGTAGAACTGCCCCATAGGGTTACCAAGGAACAGTTGGTGGATTCAAACTGCTGACTTTTTGGTTAGTAGCCAAATTCTTAACCACTGCACCAACTGGGCTCCTAAGTGATTAGTGAACCCAAACCCATTGCCGTTGAGTTGATTCTGACTCATAGCGACCCTGATAGGACAGAGTAGAACTGCCCCATAGGGTTTCTAAGGAGAGGCTGGTGGATTCAAAATGCCTGGTTAGCAGTGGTAGCTCTTAACCACTGGCCAGTAGGGCTCCGGTTACGTGAAGGCACCTAAAAAATAATACGTACAGTAAAACAGGAAATGAGTTAAAGATGTGGGAGTTTGGGGATCAAATGTCTCCAACTCTTTACTGAGGGAGGCTAGGCTGACCCCTAATTACAAATGCCCCTAGCCAATTAGCAGAAATCAGCCACAGATGAGAGAAGTGATCTATTAGGCATAAATACAGCAGAAAATCTTCCCTGACTAGAATTCCAAGAAGAAACTGGCTATTTATTGGGGGAGATTTCTAAGAGAAGCCATAAAGAACAATCTCTGAATCTCCACATTACCCTCAGAGTAATTTCTCTAAAACAAAGTGCTCATCATATTACTCTCTTGGTAAAATCCTTAAGGGGGTTCCCACTGACTATAAGGATAAAGTCTCATTTAAGTTTGTAAGTGAGGTCCTTCATGAACTTTCCTCTACTTACTTTTCCTAACTCATTTTCTCCCTGACCATACTGTCATTGCCAATATCTAGTTAATTCCTGAACTCACCCATGCAGTCTGCTTTTTAAAGGCTGTTTGGCAGGACTTTTCTCTCCACCTCAGCCATTATTAAACTTAATCACTCCCTCTGTGATGCCTTCTCTCAACACCACCAGCTAATAGGCAGAAATTAACATTCTACTCCCATATCACTCCCATGAATCACAATTGTACATGGCTTTAGGTTAGCATGAACACTGTAATGATAGTATGTATGCCTCTAATAATCTCTTCACTTGAACATAAAATGATTAAATGGCAAGGGCTATATCTTACTGCCATCAGTGTCTGCTAAGTACAAGGGACTGGAGAAGCTAGAGGTCAACTTCAGATAAGCCGTCCTGTCTTCTGAAATGCCAGCAAGCAATGTTCCTTTGTGATTATTTGACTCACCTGTGGTAGAAATTCCAGGAGCAGTGGTTGTTTTAGCAGTGGTTGTTTTAGCAGTGGTTGTTTTAGCAGTGGTTGTTTTAGCAGTGGTTGTTTTAGCAGTGGTTGCTTTCTTGGTGGTACCTAAAATGAGCAAGGAGAAAGGAATGAACCTTTCCAGGTCTCAGAAGAACATGTCTTAAGACACCTTCACATTGAACAATAGTCTCAAAGAACCTGGAGTGTACTAATACATCTACTAATGTAGTCCATGCCCGCACCCCCAACCACTGAAACATTAAGAGGTCCCTGTCTCAATAACTCCCTGCTCATAGAGGTGAACCAAATATTTTCTTATGACCCTGATAAATTTCTCACCTCTGGGGTCCCTTCTCTAAATAACAAGAGCTTTTCTCACACTTAATTCTTTTACTTCCTGTAACTTGGTTTCCTGGCTCTCCTGTGTTAATTTTTGGGAGAGAGAATTATAATAGAGTGATAAAAAAATGAAAAAAAAATCCGTGTAAGTCAAGTTCTTATTCATAGAGATAAATGTTTGTTATCTGAAACACTGGGATGTTAAAGGGGAGATGAATACTGAGCATGTAAACTTCATTAGAGTCAGTCATTTCCATTACCTGGGTTGGAACTTTCTGGAATACCACTTGATACTACAGTGGTACCTGCATAGGCAAATGAAGAGCATTTCTTACCAGGCACACCTACTGCACTGATACATAGATATCCACAATGGGAAGAGAAAGTAAATAACGTGAAAGTTCGAGCTAGATCTACAACTAGCCCAAAGAGCACCTTTGTGAATTAGAAAAAGACGCCTCCTCTGGGCAGAAGAGGTCTGATGGATTTATGCCTCACTGGAAGAATGTTGGCTGGATTTCAGCTGCTACTCTCCCCTTTAGTAGTGTGGCCTTGTGCACCTTCATAGCCTCACCTGGGTGCTGTGCCCCCAGAAACCCAGAGCATGAAGACAACCTTACAAGACTAGAGAAAGCTAATTCCCTAAAACAATTCTGCCCTGTTTCTTGGGGCTTTATCTTCATCCCCTATGTTCTTAATATGGTGAACGAGAAACACAGGGGTCATAAATGAGGACCCAGAAGATTTGAACTACTGATGCTCCTTGTTTGCATCCCAGCTTCTAAGGTAAGGACTGCTGGGGTGATGCTACTAAAGACAGTTCCAGAGAAGAGATCTTATTTTTCTAGGCTTAGACACTTAAAGACACTTACTAAATCTTTCCTTACCTGTGGTGGAACTTCTAGGAATAACTGTTGTGCCACTGGTACCTGTAATAAGAGGTCAGGATACATATTACAAAGCCTTTCCCACCCTAAGTGTTGTATTGGCAAGTTTTCCTGTTTCTTTGAAGCAATAGAAAACCATTTAACAAAGTTTTCTTGCACCAGACATTAAGTTTTGCATGATTTCCAATGCACCTTCTCACAATTGCATGTTTAAAGGACATATGCGGAAAATAAACAAACTTTCAAATTACTTCACAGATCTCATTTCCTTAGAATCTGATTATTATGTGAAAGCATCTTTTTCTTATATTCACATGATTTCCAGGGATTTGGCTCCCTACTTCTCCAGAGGAAGAAAACCACAAAAAAATCATGTCTAAATTTGTGATCAAGGATTATGCATCTCAGTCAAAGCTTTAAATTAATCTGCAAATTTGCTTGCATCTGTTTCAGTCTTCTCCACTCACCATCTTGGCTACTGGTGACTACCACTAATCTTGGGGTAGTACCAGACAAAGCAAAGTAAGGTTTCAAAGAAAGTATGTGTCTAAAGAATTATATCTGTAGTGTTTTCTCTTGGAAAAACCAGGAAGCTAATCTAGTTAACCTCATGATCTTCCAGTAAAGGAAAGAAAAGCCCTTTTCAGCCATACTTATTTCATTCCTAATCTATATATAATAAACTTAAATAAAAAAACCATTGAGAATCCAAAATCTGGCAAAATCCACCTGATGAAGTTCCTGTTTCAGTGGTTCTAATGCTTTCTTTAAAAGTTGTGGCCTCTCATAAACCAGAGACTCCAACAGCCTGAGACCAGAAAAGTTCAGATGGTAACCGGCTACCACCAATGGCCGCCCCAACAGGGAATGCAACAGAGTCCCTGACAGAGCAGGAGAAAAGTAGGGTGCAGAACTCAAAGTCTAGTAAAAAGACCAGACTTAATGGTTTGACTGAGACCATTGGGACCCTGGAAGACATGGCCCCTGGACTCTCAGTTAGCCCAAAACTAAAACCATTCCCGAGGCCAACAAAGATTAGACCGGACTATAAGACACAAAACAATACTCATGAAGAATGTGCTTCTTAGCTCAAGTAGATACATGAGACTAAATGGGCAGCTCCTGTCCAGAGGCGAGATGAGAAGGCAGAAAGGGAAGGAGCTGGTTGAATGGACATGGGAAATCCGGGGTGGAAAGGAGAAGTGTGCTGTCACAGTATAGGGAGAGCAACTAGGGTCACATAACAATGTGTATATAAATTTTTTTATGATAAACTAACTTGAATTGTAAACTTTCACTTAAAGCACAATTTAAAAAAAAAAAAAGTTGTGGCCACGGTGAGAGCAAAGGCATAAAATGAAGAATGTTGCAAGTTTGTAAATATGAAAAGGATATGGCAGTGTGTTACCCTGTCCCTAGAGCTGCTTAAAGGAGAATTCCTTTTGCTACTTGACTTACCTGTTTTGAAACCTTCAGATGAGACACTAGTACCTGAACCTGTCCCAGTGGTGCCTGGGATAGGAGAGAGAAGAAAAAGAGGGTAACATGTTATTTATCCTACTGAGATCATATTTTAGAATAATTCCATGTATTTCATAAAACAAATTATTCCTTCTGTAGGATTCCATGTGGTAAGAGATGAAAGAAACATGTTCTTTCTTGCTCTGTTTAATACTCTGTGGTAAACTGGAATCTTCTAGAATTTTCTTTTCCAGAGTTAAAAAAACCAAAACCAAATCCATTGTCATATCAATTCTGACTGATAGCAACCTATAGGAAAGAGTAGAACTGCCTCATAGGATCTTCAATCAGCGGTTGGCGAACTCGAACTTGCGACCTTTTGGTTAGCAGCGGAGCTCTTAACCACTGCTCCAACAGGGCTCCTTTCCAAAACTAGTAACATGGAAATGGAATCTTAACTATCCTTACTCTTTTTTTACTTCCTCATGCTCACCTGTTGTACTTCCAGTGGGATGGCAGTAAAAAGATAATGGCTTTATCTTTTAAAATTTTACTCATTGGTTAAATTGATGTATATTAATATTCACATGTTTAAAATAGAAGTCTATGGATCTAATACTTTAATATGGTGATTTTTTTAGCCCATACTACCTGGCTTGGGACTCTGTAAACTGCTGCTGACTCCACGTGAAAAAGTGGTGGTACCTATTGGTGTCAATAGAATGAAGCTTCAAAATAAGCATGCATTTTATCACTCAAATAATCTTTATTAAGTATATAATCTGTGCAATATTCTTTTAGGCCCTAAGGGGACAAAAGAAAAGTAGCTAACAGAGCCCACCATACAGGTACACTGAAAGCCCTTCCCGAGAACTTGTGTTTCCAAAGGGGATACGCCATGACCGATTTTTCTTTCTTTGGCCAACACTTTGACTACTGTTTTGCTGCTTGGTAGCAGTAGCCTACAGCCTGTTAGCAAAGGGGCTTCATTTCACTTGACCTGTTTCACTTCGACTGACTTGGCGGCCCGGTGTGCCAGGAGCGTGTAAGGGAGGAAAAGCCGGATGATGGTCTTCATCCTTCTAAACGCTCTGGTGCGTGTCACTGGGGGTTTTGTACTAATCGGTCTCTAAAAATCGTCTTCTATGAGACACGTCCACCTTCCCCTGATGACTTTAAGTAGCCCGTCTTACCGGAAACGCGAGCCGGTGAACTGCTGCTGACTCCAGATGAAACCGTGGTGGTGCCTATTGAAGTAAATAGAGTGATGCTCAACAGAAGGATATAGCTGTCATTCAACTTATATTTAGTAAGCGTCTTCTCGGT